CACATGTTGATACATTATTATCAACTAAGGCCCAGAGTTAGACCCACTATAGTTTACCCCTTGTGTTGTACAGTTCTCCAGGCTTACTAAAGTGTGTGTTCAATAAAATAATTCAATATTTTAGCTGAAAAAGGTATAAGACTGCTCTGTTTCAAACTCTCTGCCTTGCAGACCACAAAAATGAGGGCCAGAGATTTAGGAACTTTAGGAATATCCCATAGCTGAAAAGTGCCTGCAACACAATTTTTAACTCAGAACTTGAAATTTCCATTCTCCTATGCTTTCTTCTCCTTGACTTTCACTTTAATCATTTTGAAAATAAAATGTTAGTTTTGTGAAAAGTCTATAATCTGTATGACACATATCTCCTCATCATTCTCACCTGGGGAGCAGGAGTGACTGAGAAGTCTTTGCTAGAGGTGAAGAGTGGGTATCGACATGTTCGTTTCTACCTCACCAGTCACCTTGTCCCCTAGTAAAACATGGCATCCTATGCCTGCTGCTATGTAGTCTCTGTGTCCATTCCTCTAGATAAAAATTGGCTGAGGCTCCACTAAGTAATTGGTTTACCAGGATTTCCTTTGTTTCATTATTGAGGGAGTTGCAAAATTGGATCTTTGAGCTATGTTAGACAGCAAATAAGGATTTGATGAAAATCAGTAACCAGGAGTGAAGATCACCCATTTAATTAAAGTGTGGCCTGTGTTATCTATATGCATACCTAATGAGGGGACAGGTCCTTGTGTTTAGCAGAGAAGGAAGGCCTATTAGTATTAATAAAAAGCGAAGTCTAGATACCTTCTTTTCAAAATCAGAGATAGCATAAACAATACTTTGTACATTTTTGTCTTTGCATTTAATGTTTCCAAAACTAGGGGGAAATCTTAAAAGTGTGATTATTTCATGTACAGCCTCCCTTGGTAGTAGCTAATTTAAATAAAAAGACTCTGTTTTGTTAGAATTCTTAAGGAAAGTATTAATCAGTTAGATCTCAATACCTATTTACAAACTGATAACAAAGTGAGAGTTATTAGCAGTTAGGTAAAACATGATTTGCAACTCCGTTACATTTTAATCTTTTGTCAAGATGTAAAATAATGTGTGTTCCCAAATCACATCTTAAATATGTTCCTTAGTAACTCATAAAACCTCATAAACTGTTCCAATATATAAATTAATGCCTTATTTTCAGATGACAGGATATAGCCCTTATAGAGTTATTTTCTGATTAATCTAAGCTAAAAAAAAGAACATATTTTTTATTCCAGTGGAAACTAATTTAAGCAAATCATAATAATTAAAATGCTATTAAACAACATTTTACATTAGTTTTATCACAATTTGTTTTTATGGTGTGAATATATGATTTTAACTGACATAATTTGAGATACCCACTCTGCACTTATAAGAGGTATAAGAGCAGTTTTTTAGAGCTTGTTTTAAAATAGAAAATTGAGAACAAATTAGTTATTTGCATTTCTAATTATCTAATATTTTCTATCAGCAAAACCATGAAAACAAAAGGCAAATGAACCTCTTTTTTTAGAACCCATAAATCTCAAACATGAAACCAGAAATATTTAAGAAAGAAACCTCTGGAATCATCTATCCATCCATTCTGCTTCACCTAATGATGAGCTATTCTGTTTTGAAAGTCTTATTAGATGGAAATTTCAATTACACTAATAAATTCTCATTTTCAACTCTCTTTTTTGCAGACTTAAGTTGCATTTTTTTCTGCTATAGATAGATCTTATTTCCTTTTATTTCTCATGAGTATAAATAGATCCCACCGTTACATTTTGAAGACCATGATAAATCAACATGCCCTTTCCCGCTAATTTTTTGTACACTCTCTCAATTATTAAACTCTACAGAAATGATGTTCACATACCAATAAATAGAGACAAAGTTATTTATATAGTATTTCCTGTCACACAAAGGACTCCATCCCAGTCTATTTCACATAGATGATAGTCAGATTTTGATATGTGATCCGTTTATCTGTTAGTCAAAGATAGATGATAGATAGATAGATAGATGATAGATAGATAGATAGATGGCAATCAACTTAAAGTGTCCAGGGATAGGGAAAAGAATGCCAGCATGTGAAGCAATATTATTTGATGGCATAAAATAGTACATATTTTATTTACTTACCAGATCTGTGCTAGGAATTTCATACACATTATTTCCATTTGATCTTTATAAAAGTAGTTACTTTTTTTTTTTTTAAAATAAGTAAGAGAGGGACAAGCCAGTAAGTTCGTTTGCCTGAAATTACACTGTAAGCATTTGCATACGGTTGTTTGTGAGTGTGAAAGCTGTCTATACTGGACTCTGCCACCTTTCCACCAAGTCACATGCCAAGCTGCATTTGGTACTTGTGCTAATCTTTCTTAATGTAGAAACTTTGGAAACATGTCTTCTTCAGCAAACTTGCAGCAAGAGGAATGAATGCCTTGCATGGTGTGGGAGCCAGCCCTGAACTGACATACTGTATGCCCAGACTAGTGACATGAGAAACAGACAGACAAATGCTTCGAGGATCTAATTCTAGGCATTTGCCTAAAGAACTCCTTAAAGGTCCTCCTTGGGGCCACAGCGGACACTGAGATTCCCCTTCTACATGGATCAACACACACAGAGTCAGCAGGACTCCAACATAGACATTATTGTGGAGGTATCCGGAGAGTGAAACTAATCAGGGGCCAGATTCGAGATTTCTAGCAATGTCAATGAGTAATGCAGACGAATAAAAGGAAACGTCTGTGAACCACACCATATTGCCACACCTACTCAGTTTGTTTCTGAGTCTGGAACTCGGTGTGAATCACCGATTTGGAATAAGGAAAGTGGCACACCAGCAGGCTATTTTAAAACCATCTATATCCTCCGAGCTCGGTGCGGCTTTTCCTGCCCATTTGAGTCCATTCTTAAACATTTAATTAATATCTCAGCTCCACGGAGGTATAAGTCAGTCTATTTGCTTAGGTAATTAGCAATGAAGACAAAAGGCATCTAATCACTGTTGGAAAGTGAAAGATCGGAACTTAAGAATATTAGTGCCTATTTTTTCCAAAGCTGATAAGGTTAAGCCTGTCAGAAAAGAACACAAGCCTATTGTGAAGTGCCACATAAATTTGCAATATAATTCTAAATTCCTTTTCTTTGAAACAGAATGAATAGCGTAAGGAAGTGGCATTATTAGCACATTCTAATCGTTCTTGCCACACTCCTCTGTTTAATCACCGCTACAGGACAGCCTGTCTAAGCACCCAGCCCCCTCAGAAAAGCAAATTGCAAACACAGCCCCATCTCACAGCGTGTGGTTTTAAAAGCAAACGCACTTGTTTTTGCTCCCTGTATAATGAGTTTAAAATCAATTTGTATTTTTAAGCAAAGACTGAAGTTGAAATATATTTGTTTACGTGGCTCTGTTTACCATTTGCATATGAATCTGCAGAACAGAGTGCTCCGTGCTGTGCTCTCATTTGCCTAAAACCTGTTCTGAAACACTGCTTTTTCTGTATGTCTTTGTAATAAAGCTGAGACTTGAAATACTTGTATGTTAGAGGACACTCACCACAGAGTGGCAATACAGTGGCCTCAGTAAGAGTTTGGAGAAGACAAACACAAGTGAGGACTGTAACTAACTGTGCTTAGTTACCAGAAGCATGCGCAATTGAGAACTCCCCACCCCCATCACTACTCTTGGAACTGTGGCTTTTCACAAAGAACATCAACCTCCTTGGGTCTGAAACACACAAACAAACATATCAGAATAGTTTTCTCCAAGTAGCTTGGAGAGGAGTAATGCATGCAAACACAGCCTTTGCGCATAAACTTTTAAACATAATTTTTCTTTGGTCCTTTCCCTTGTGAGCTCTACAGAAATTCATTGAAGGCTCTATGAATGCTATTTAATCAGCCATGACAGATGGCTCCTGAATGCCACCACAGTCCTCTTCCTTCTGTACCATGATTTATGTCTTCTCACCGTCCCTAACAGAAGCCCTTTAACCTTCCAGCTTCTCCCCAGGTGTGGTTTACAGGGTACCTAGAGTCCAACCACTTGGGCCAGTTGTTAAAATCCACATTCCTGGGTCCACCTAAACTGACTGAATTAGAGTATCTGAGGTCTGGGCTTCAGATCTACGTATTTTACCAACATCCAAAAATATATACATAAGCAAATAACCACAGAAACAACAACAACACACACACACACAATTGGTGACTGTTCTACCCAGGGCTAATTCAGTGTACCTTAAGATTAACTCCTCTAAATTTTGTCTCTTTCTTTCTCTTTCTCTCTCTCTGTCTCTAACTCTCTCTGTCTCTCGCTCTCTCTCTCTCTCTCTTTATATGCTGTTCCAGTTGACTCTGCTACTGTGTAAGATTTTACAGACATAAATTCTATTGTTTATAAGCTTTTAAAAAATGTTGTTTTACTTATTTTGAGAGAGAGAGAGAGAGAGTGTGAGCAGGAGAGGGGCAAAAAGAAACGGAGAGAGAGAATCCCAAGCAGGCTCCTTGCTGTCAGCATAGAGTCCAACATAGGGCTTTATCTCACAAATCATGAGATCGTGACTTGAGCTGAAATCAAGACTTGTACACTTAACCAAGTGAGCCACCCAGGGTCCCCTGTTTTTAAGCTTTTAAATATTTGAAAAGTGTTACAGATGCTTTTCACCTAGAGATATATTTAGTGGACACTGACTGGCAGTGATTAATAGAAACCCTAAAAAAACATTACAAGCAACCTTCAAAGTATTTATTGGAAGTGCATTTCATCCTGGGCAGTGCTCACAGTTCTGTTTCTAATATGAAACACACACACATATAGAACAGCTAAAAGATCATCTGAAAATCTGAGCACACACTGGACCAATATCATATCTACCTAATGAATAAGCTGAACAGTGTTTAGCAATGCAGTGAATCTTCATTTGCACATGGGGAAATTATGGTATTATGAAAAAGTAAAGAAAACTCACCACTTCTTCATGTCTGCATTTTCTCACGTTAATTCCATTTATCTGCAAGGAAAAGAAAAGTGTGGGTTCAAGTGGGCTATGGTGAACTGAATTTATGTTTTGGTTGCACATAGAAAATAAGAGTAAAATGTATACCTGCAGAATTGCATCCCCAATAAAGAGCAGACCTGAAAGTTCCGCTGTGAAGACAGAAGGGCAATGATTATGCATAAACTGGTTTCTTCATACAGAAAGAGTTTTATTATTAAATAAAATCAAAATTGATACAAGGGAAAAATAAATGTTTTTTATAGATAACATCTTGAATGATCCACTAGTAACAAAAATGCAAAACAATCTTATGATTCCACCCAAATATTGAAAACCCTTTTTCCATTTAATTCTATCATTTTAGATCTTACAGTTGCTAAAACCTGGTGGCTCCTCTGGATGGATGACAAGATTTTGTCACGTACCTACAATATGCAAGTGTCTATGAAAAATTTGAATCTAGACATTCAATCGTTCAGCTATGGGATCAGCTCTGCATTTCTTTTTAAACATTACTGATTTCAGTAGCTTTACATCTGTGGTGTTTTTCTAGATGAAATTTCATGATAGACTGAGTAAACTGCATATGAGAACAAAAAAAATATGTATATCAGGAACTGACTATATTTGACGGGACCTTTTATCATTAAATGTGTGGATATGTTTGTCTTTAATGAAATAACTGAAAAACTATGCACTCCCTAATTTATAGAGTCACACTCTCTCTTATCTTTCCTCTTTGCTTTCCTGTGAGAGAAAAGCTCCCCTGAAGTAATAAAAGGAGAGCCTCAGGAATTAGACTCAGCCATTACTTCATGGTCATGGGGAACGTGGAGCTGGTCAATCATATCCTAATGTATGGTTTATAATGCAACTTATTCTACAGTAAGGACAGCTTACAGAGGAACAGGGAGTATGTAATTCTCTTAACATCTTACCTCTTTGCTCCTTGGAGATTTTTGAAATGACAACTGGAATATTATGTTCTGCTCCCCCCTGAAAAGAGAAAATCATACATTACGGTTTTTAATTGCAAAAAATAAAAATGCAGCTTTTAGTTAGAAAATCGTACATGCAATGAATAATCTGTTAATGGACCCCAGATGGAAATTAAATAAACTTCTGGAGTTTCTCTACTCAACAGATAGTGTTCCCCAAAAATATATCTACCTGTTTAGAATTTTATGGTAATATCCAATAACTAATAACAGTTGACTTTGAAAGCTTTTGTTTTCCATATAAAGATTGGAAATGCTTAAATAGGCATTCTCTTCAATGTGTGTCATGCTGTCCATTGTAGAAATTCTTTCTTAGCATTTGAACACCAAATAATTTTATGTATTTCCATTAACTGACTAAGTTGTTCTATGCTGCTGACCAACTACAGACCCCTTTGGATGCTAAGTGACTAGAGAGACCTTTACCTGCACAAAATGATACAGAAAGTCAGACTATGAATATGCAACATGGGAAAGGGGTCATCTGCATTTCTTTAATTAATAGTAGATTGCTCTTAGTGTGAAAGTACATATGAAACAATTAACAAAATAAAATAAACTGGCAAGAGCATTGTAGTAATTATTCATCTAATTGACCAAACAAGATATGAAAGAAAAAAACTGTGTGAGTTAAACTTATATCAAAGGAACTAAAATAAATGCCTGAAATAAACACATAAAACTTCAGTTTCAATATTATAGAATTGAGCAGGTTGGAGCCAATAGTTGAAAAATCAAATGAATGAATTAAAGAATAAAATATCACACATAAAAGAAGTTTAACATTTTTTAACATAAGATGTTGAAAAGACAGCCTAAAATCCCACTGGGTTTCTCTATCTTCAGAACAAGTAAACTTCCTAAACCGTTTTTATTTAAAGACAAAAATTATTTCAGAACAGATGCATTTCCATGAATATCAATTTTTAACACTGAATTGTCAATACACTTAAATATGAGATGGGCAATCATTGAGAAAAGAAATGATATTCAACTTTTTCTTAGCAAATATCTTTTTAACTTCTAGAATATTGAAGAGATATGATAAATAAAATATTCAAACAGTCTTACCCAGATTAAAATTCAAAACCAGTACTAACTCTCTTTTCTCACTATTTCCCACCAACCAAACATTCACCACTCACCTTCACTAGCTCTGTGAAGTCTCTGGCCTAAGCTACATAGCTCCTAATTGTGCTTTGCCTTTCGGTCATCAGGTCCCTAATAAGCACTAACTGTGTCTAACATGACTTCTTATCTGATCAAAGGATAGTGATTTGTGACTGATAGTTTAGTTGAAATGAATGCTTATTTAGCATACAATAAACACTGAATACAAGGTAGCTATTATCCTAATTAGTCTATCAATTAAGATTTATGATAAAATTACAGGGCATTGAAGTAGTATATAAGTTTAGCACTAATCCATTCTAAGATCTTTAATATTTATTATTTAGGGTTCCAAGTTCCCAATCCCCTATTTTTAATTCTATTCTTTCTTTACCATTTTAATTATCATCTTCCAATCTACTATTATCTTTATTCATTTCTTACATTTTTTTGCTTGCTTTCTCCTTCCTGCATCTGTAACTAGAATGTAAGTTCCAAGAGGGCATTGAATTTTTTGGTAATTTGTCTCATTGATGTAAACCCAAAGCATGGCATAATGTCTTTCTTTTTCATCTTTGAAGTGTTTGTCGATGAATGAGTGAATGAATGAATGAGATCAAAAAGTTTTTCCAGACCAAAGATAGCTCCATTCTTTAAAGCACATTGCAGAATGATTTTAAGTAGAAACCATGAAAGAGTGTACAATTATATAAATGCCCATGGTCACAGTTAGTTTCTAGAGATAACTTGGAATTTGGAAGAAATTTTAAGAACACATCTCCATTTCTAAGAAGAAAAAAACTGGTTAACTGAGATGAATCATCCATCAATGAAGTTTCAGGTGGTATAAAAAGAAGAAACAAACTCATCCAGATACGATCTGGTTCAAATATCTGGGGCAGAGAGTGACATTGTTTATATCGCTCTTTTCTGTGTGGCTGCCATCAGAGTGTTTTCCTTCAGCCATTTACTCTTCATAGTTTTCTCTCCTTGCACTATTGAATCCAAATATTTTCTTTCTACCAAAGATGTTTCATACCAGTTACTACGGTAAGCCACTGGGAAACCTCTCCCTGGGGTCTGCTTAGAGAAGACAGTTGGGATAGCAATTTCTGAGGGCCAACTCAGTAACCCTATTCCTCCCTCAATACCAGGAGACTTAGAATTATTTTTAAATGGCAGGATACAACTAACATCTATTTTGTCAACATTTTTTATATGTAAAATCTCTCCTGAAATTTGAATGATTTGAGTCCAAAGGTGTTTTTTTCATTTTGGGTCTTTTAAAATAGACTCTAAGAACTCAGAAAGAATTCTTAAACAAATTGCAGCAAATTACTATATTAATTAATTAAAGAGCACATTTTTAGACAGAACTCAGGAGATAAAATTGGAACTTAAAATTACAGTACCTTAATTTATTGGATGAAATGTGAGAGCAGTCCAGCTCTATTAAAGTTAATAAGATTTAGTTCTGGACCTAAATGGGGAAATGTAAGGTTTTCCAGTCAAGAATCAAATAATCCAACTCATCCTGTTGAAAACAGGTTATAGCCTTCCCATTACACTTAGAAAAAAACCCCCAATCTTCAGGAGCCCCGTGGCTTGTGGTCTCAGCCTGCCTTCACCTCCTCACCCTGGACATTCATCACTCTGAGTACCAGGGGATATACTATCCCCTCTGCCTGGACACTTTTTTCTTTTCCTCTTAACCTGGTAAACTCCTCCTCAAATTCAGAATTTCAGCTGAAGGACCCCATTCATCAATGTCTCTTTATATGAAAGAATTCACTTCTGTAACATGGGATCCAGGCTATGATTTACATTTATTTATGTCACAATTTGATCAATGTCTACTCTCCTACTAGATTGTAAAGGGCCTGAGATCCAGGCAGAGTTTCCTTTATTGTCTTCTCGCAACCTACCCTTAGGATAGCTTGGGTGTGTGGCTTGTGTTCAGGCTTAGAGAATAAATGAATTAATTGAACTCTGTTGTTCCAGTGTAAAATCAAGACTAGGGAAAATGTGAGGCAATATTCTACAGTGCATCCCAGAAAATATTAAAACATATACCATTCAATGCATAATTAAGCTCACAGCTAGTTTTATAGGAACCAGGATATAAAGTCCCATCTAAAACATTTTGAGTAGTATTCTATATAAGGAATTTGCCAATATAATTGTGAAATTCTACCAAATAAAACCCAGAATGTTTTTAGACCATTGGATATCTTGCCAAATAAATATTTTCAATTCAGTATTTTCATTATTCCAATTAATCAATCAATCATATTCTGGACTCTGGAGGGAAAAAAGATACATAGACCCCACCATTATATATTTACTTAGAGCAATAAAAATATTTGTAAACAGATAATAACAGCACAGTAATTAAGGTTAAAAACCCAAAGAACAAGTGTGGGAAAAGCACCTAAAGGAATGTGATCTGAAAGAATATTGGAAAATATCCTTATCTATTCAATTGCCATGCCTATCTGCTAGTATCACCTAGTTTGATTTCAACACAAATTAATGGTCCTTTCCACATACTATATGACTGCTTTCATATGCAAGTCTAAAATAGAGACTGAAAGTATACTAGTGGTTGCTTACAGCTAAGTTCGGGAGATAGGGGGAGAAGGGGGTGATAACTCAAGGATCTGGGGGAGATGAAGTGCTCCAAAATTGACTATAGTGATGGTTGCACACATCTGTGAATATAATGAAAGCCACTAACTTATATATGCGGTTAAGTTGCATGGAATCTAAGTTATATCTCAAGAAGCTACTTAATTAAAAAATGGTCTTTAAAATGACAGTAGTCAGTGATTTTTGAATTCATTCTTAGTACTAATCTGTTATTTTCAACTTAAGCTTTATTACCTGCCTGGTATCCTCTTATTTCTATGGTGGAAAGGAATATATCCATGCTGTCTGTGGTGGGACCAGAAGAATCAGACTCAAGTGAAAAGAACAGGGAACACAATCAGGAGTATGTAAGCATGTGCAAACTTGTACCAACAATTGCTATTTAAAGACTTTGCCCTGAAATCACTAATAAATTAAAAGGCAGAAATTTATTACAGCTACTTTGAAGACATATTTTATTGATAAATTTGATAAAAATAATATCAAGCCCTTGATATTAAATTCTTTCTTGATCCTGGACTTATTAATCCATTTATTTTAGTTTTGAATAAACCGTAACATAAATAATTTAGAGAGGAAACATTATTTGTGTTCCCAAATAGAGAGTTTGGAAACATTTTGGTCCAGTTTCCATATCCAGAGAGCATAGTTATTAAGAGTAAGGACTATGTCATCTGTTTCAGATGAAGTTTAGGTCCAGCTCTGCCCAGTACAATGGTGGATATATTTCTTAAACTCTTAATATGTAACTACACTGTCTATCGAGGGATAGCAATAGTTACCTACTTTGCTGGACACTAAAGGCCAAATGAAACAGGATATAAAATATTGAGCTCAGCATTTGGCACTTAAAGAGAAGTTGATAACTATTGCAATTATTGTTTATAAATTATAAAAATTTAATAATAATTATAATTTCATTCTTGATTGTTGCACAGTTAAAGCTTCCATATAAAAGTCACCTTTTATTGCAAACATTTCCTTAAGAAACAGAGATGACAGCCGTGTCTGTGGAAAAATACTCCATAAAATATTTTCTAGTAATAATATGCAAAACACCATTTCTCTAAAGGTGATTTGTTAAATGACAATGACCAGGGGCATGCTTTAACAATATGCAAATGTATGATGCTGTATTTGCAAAGATATGAAAGACAAATTAAAGGAATTTACTTTAAGGTGATTATCCATAGGGTGATTCTCAAAAGAATGAGGCAAAATACAAGAATATTGGGTCTTTTGATGCAAAACTTTGGTGATTATTAGAAATGTAGGTGTGGAGACCATGAAGTCATTTTTAGAAATGGCTAAGTATCAGGATAGTCCAGACAAAAGGGATGAGCATTCGAAAGAAAGATTCTACCAGAAGGCCAAAAGGTAGAGAGGTGGGAGAGAAAGGGGGCAGAAGCTGAAGAACTGGGACCAAGGGACAGAAAAGTCCACAGGAATTCAGGAGCTCAGGGAAACTAGACAAGAGCCCAGATCAGAATGACCTGTAGCAACAAGGAGAATATACACCAGCTAACCTAACAAATCTGAGATTTTAGGGTGTGAAAATCAGAAACAAATGGACACCAGCCTTGAAAATTCCAAGCAGACAAAACCGGTTAAGTCATATAAACAAAGTTTAGTTTAGTTTCTTTTGCAAGACTAACTTGACCCCAGTCATTTTTTGTTTATGCCTCCTGAAATCAAGCAAAACTTGACCTGTGACCTAAGGTTGACATGGATTAACTACTAACCAATTCCCTATCATTTAAAAAAATTGTAATGCATTATTATAACAACTCACTCTTAAAAACAGTCACTGCCAATAAATAAATAAATAAATATGGAAAGGAAAAAAAAAAAAAAAAAACAGTCACTGCCTTCCCGCTATCCAAGTTGCTTTATAATAATATACCCCTGAGCCTCATTCCAAGTTTTGGTTTGAGGGCTCCTGCTCTCCAAACTTTTTTTTTTTGGTGGGTGCACGATAAACTTTTATTAATTATGACTTGAACGATTCATTGTTTTTGCTTCTGTGATTTCTGAACTTTTTACAAAAGGAAGCAGTTTCAGGCTGACACCAGAGAAGAATATGTGATTGTAAGTGGAAAGTTTAGTGATCCTTTTGTTCAGTTTTTGGAGAATGATCTTTTGGAAATTTAAAAATATAAATAAGAAGAGCTTCACATTTTATCCAGTGACAAACAAACAAAAACAAATACAGGGGGAAAAACATGCACTGTTTTCTGAGGGACGTTTTAATCAAGAGAGACTGAATAATGGTAACAGACAGAAGGAATCATACGGAATTGTCAAAAAAGATCCAAAGTTATAGCAGATGCAAGAAGTGCTCTAAAAAGCAACACAAGGGTAAAAATAGCTTGAATGAGCAAGGCTTTCTGGAAGACAGCATAGAGTGAGCACAGTTCATAAAACCCTAGCACTGGTTCATGACTAAGTTTCTGATCAGAAAGCATGGCCATCATTTCTTTCTATTTTGAGGTCCTGGAGAAGGAGCTTGTGGGTGAAATGCTATTAAAGACAACCGAGAGCTGGGCCCTGTACAAAAGTGTGTACGTCATGCCTCCAAATTTCATCTTATTGTACCCTGGCTCAGTTACACATTGACTCCTACTACTTCACTAGATCTGCTAACTGGAACATGGGGCCATAAAAACACAGAAACAAGCAGGGATCCAGGGATGATCATACTCCCGGTGTTAAAAGGAATCCCTTTTATTTTTAGGAGCTGAAGACAAGCCATTTAGATAAATGGGAGGATGGGAAGACGGAGCAAGAAAGTCAGCCTTGTGTGTGGTACGTCCACCTGTCAGAACACCTGCTTCAACATATGCTGCATTAGCACAAAACTGCCATGTACCCAAAAGTCCTTCATTCAGTGGTCTTTTTTTCCTCCTTATTTAGAATTAACACGGATATATAGGTAAGTTTGGTCTCTACCTTTCATGGTAAAACACTCTTATGAAAAGATGGGATTTTAGGAATCTAAAAATAAATTTGTCTCTGGAGATAAATCTGATTTGTATATTAAATCTTAATGTGACTGATGCCAAAGGTCTTTTTGGATGACTGTGTTCCACACTGAGGGTCTAGCATCTTCAAATATGATTTAAGACAATAATTATGACTTTTCAAAGGAGAGTTTCAGGTCTTGTTAGAAAGTCCTAATTATGCAAAACTAAAATCTTCTTCAGGTGAAAATATAAAATAATAGGGGACAAGACAAAATTTGAATGGAAATGGATTAAAATTTCCTTAAACTGTATTTTAAAAAATTAGATCTTATACAATCTTTCATTTTTATTTATGATTTTCTCTTATTCTTTAGGATTTTAGGAAATTTTGAGATGGAAACTCTCCTTACTGTGCACTGCATATTATTGGCTTTCAAGTTGAGATGTCAAATCAAAGACCTAGAATCAAAATGTACAGGCATGTGACTCCCCCATTCTCCAAGCCACCTGGAATTAATCCACACAATTTTATCCCAGAAATTTCAACATTATCTCAATAATATGGTAGAGAAAATAAAAGGAGGTAAAGGCAGACTTTTTTCCCTCACCCTTATAGGGGAGTCTCTGCCTGGAGAGAATGTTGGGGAGCAAGACACTATTGTACACAGACAGGCAACATCAAGGTTTAATGGACATTGGTTGCTTCTGTGACATTATACTGCCAGTTGCCAACCATCTTTGTAACATTGGTCACCATGTGGGAAACCAGAGGGGTTGCCACCCTGTACAATGGTAACAGTTGCAAGAAAAACCCATCAGCCAAGATTTGGCAGGAGCACAGAACAAGGTCAATTGGCTTTGACTTGTAATAGCACATGTTGGAGTGTTTTAGTGTTTTCTGATAAAAAAAAAAAGTAACCATTTTGTTACCCTTTAGTCAGGCTTTTACAAATAATTTTTGAGAGGTAAAACTGAAATAGCATCACCATATGTTCTTAGTACAATGAATTTCAGGAGCACCTGTAGGAGCCTTCACTATATTGGTTTTTAATTGTCCAACATGCACTCTACCTTCTGTTATTTCCAGTTGAGATACACCAGGTTTTTAGTCAATAATTCTCACTACATAATCCCCAGTGAGTGCCAGCAGTGATTACTTAACTGAAACAAATAAGGAAAGAATATACGTTCATATATCTATGTGAATAGTTGTATTATTGGTTCAAACTGTTCTAGCAATAAGTATACCAAAAAATAAATAGAAAAAAATAAATGGTCAAACTAAAATATTAATTCTGCATTTAGGTTAAAGTGATATCTTAAACAGTTCATTTTATATATATATATATATAATATACACTATATATATAATATATATACATAATATACACTATATATATATAGTGTATGTAATTACACACACACACACACACACACACTTTAACAGAGTGAAAGATAGTTTAAAAATAAAAGACAAGTATCAGAGGTAACAACTGAGAAAATGAAAATGGAAAATCCTAAATGGAAACTCTTCAGAATGGCTGAGTAATAATCTAAATAATAAAGTTAATTTTTGTATTTCTGATTAGTGTATCAGAACTGTAAGATAATTTCCTGTTTTTCAGAATTCCTAATATATGACACAGATTATAATTCATATATTGCTTTTGTGGCTAATATTATGAATGGAAAATACACACTCATTTGATTTAGAAAATTAGTCTATTTATGTATAAGAGTTTTGTTTGGAATGAAATAATGAAAATATTAAATGGATATAATTCATTTGGAAAAATTCTTGATATTTTAGACTGTCTAGTTAAAATTGTAGCATTTTAGTAAAAATAAATAAATTATATTATTGAGTTTAAATTATAAATGGAAATAGAAAAGAAAATTTCCCTGCATAAAACTAATGTACCTCCACTATCAGAAAAAATGTCAGGCCTATTAGGTAAAAATGCTTATCTCAAATGAAACCAACTCTCAAAATTGTATTTTATTCACACTTAGCTTTTGTTGTCTCTCATGGACTTTTTACTATCTTTAGTGGTACCTTTAAATCCTTCAAGCAATCCCAATAAATATCACAGCAAAACCAAAAACAAACAAATAAAGTTTGTTTGTTGTATAATGTAATTCCCATGGCATCATTTCCACTTCTTATAACTTGTTCTTCATACCTCCCTGGTTTTAGCTGATGATAGATAAAGTGAAAATTAAATACACATTTTAAAACTAACGTTTTATATAGCAATATTCTTATCACTTGACAACACAACGTTAGTCCACACTGGTCCATTTTTCTAAGTCATTTTCAAATGTCAGCTAGAACTGATAGTCACCAAATTTAGAGTTCCACTTTCCAAGCATATATAAACTGAGTTGTGGTAAAATTTCATGAAATATATACCTGAATGTATGATTTTCACCCTACACGGACAAAATACCTAACCCAATGGTTCAAGATAAATTTCATTTATCTATGCAAAGATGTAGGTTTCTAAAGGTCATTTAAAGATAGTGGTTAACTTTTCCAATATTTATATAATTTCCCATCCTTTTAAAATTTCTGTTTTGTGTCAATGATGATAAATTGAAGGTATGGTACATCTTTACTAGTCAACCATATACACAAAAACTAGAGACCTTTAAAATTCATTAATAAATGAAAGTAAAAAGGTATGGTCATTTTAAAAATAAATCAGATGCTAAAATTCTGCTTATCCTATTTACTTGGCATTGTGACATGAAAATTTGCTGATTTCTTTTTTTAAAAAGGAAAACTAAACAAAAGAAAAAGATGAATAAAACCCTACTAATATTTAACTATTATTAGTGTAAAATTTGTTCTTATTCCATTCACTGTGGGGTGGGGTGGGGGGAGTAGCTCCTCTTCTGTCTGGTTACAGGAAGATATGCACACACCACCACCATATGTGACATTTTAGATGGTCCCAGGTAGAGAAAATTAATGACCTTTGTTCAATGCTAGGTGAAATTCCCAGATACTTTTTCTAAGAAACTTTCTAAATAAAAAGTTGGCCAAGGTTTTGTAAGAACCTACCTAATTTATGTCTTAGTCCAAATATCGAGGATTTTGCTATAGCCACTCTTGTCTAATTATTAATCATCAAAAACCAAAATACACACAAATGTAGGCATTATAGCACAGCCTTTACAGATAGACTGGAAAGACAGGATACCTTGATGCTTAATCCAAATCCTCCTACAGTTTGTCTTCTAATGGTCACCGTTCTTTCCTGAAAGACAGGATTTTAAAAGTGGTTAGCATTTTCTAATATTATACTTATACACCATTTTCCTCCTCTGGGTTCTGTTTCTGCTCCTTAAAAAAGAAATATTGTGTGACAGCATACGGGTTCTAATTCTTACAAAAAATAGAGCATTTTGTAATTTTCAAACCAAAGGTTACTTTATTTGTCAAGGTAAAAGGGTCTGTACTATTATTAAACTGCTAAACTCTCAAAAATTAAGTTCCTTTCAATGATTTTTTTTTGAAAATATTTTGGAATCTTAACCTTTCAACCTCTTCTTATTTTCACATTATATATTCTTGTTGTCTAAGGAATGACAAGTTTTGGTTACATAAAAGTAACCCAATGTCATGGTAAATATTGTCTTTGTCAACCAAGGTCTTATCTCCATCACGACCAAGTCATCTTGCTTGTGGAAATTTGAGAGCTGAGCTGGGAGGCTCCCATGTCCCAGCACATCAATGATTCATGTGCATGTCTGGGATTGAAACTGTGACTAAACCAGGTTCAAAACGATAAGAACTGATCTTACATAACCTAGCTAATAATGACAATGGAATGATCCATTTTCAAAGTCAATTCTCTTTTTCCTTCCACAATGGAAACAATAAGTCAATCGCTGGTGTATGAAATGAAAATCACAAAGATCTGCATTTGGACAAGCCCTTTAATTTCCAATAAAAATCAATCTTACTCAGTTTTGGGACAATCGTTTCTATGTTTTATTTAGAACCTTCTCCATTTATCTGTAACTTTCTAATTTTTTGCCCCCACCCCCCCCCCCGTCTCTTGCTCTACCAAGGATAGATGTTGATTATCTGGTCCCCACAAATGCCCAACATTGTGGCTATACTACTCATCTTCAAGTCTCAATACTGCTCTTTCTTACTCCATGGTTTTCGAGAGGCAGTGTGGAACAGATGATATTATTTAAAAAGAACAAAGAGAAAATCTGGAAAATGTGTGTTTCTGTTGGATCTTCCTAAATATTTTAAAATAATATAAAAACCAGTCATTTTGGCAGGTACAAGATACCTTCATTTAGTTAAGTGTTTATATTTCATAAATAAAAACAAAATTATGCTTAAAGAATAAGACCACTATGCCAGAAATTGAGGTATATTAACTGTTATTTATTTTGAACTAAAGAATAAGCTTTTATGGTTGCAGATTGGTGCATATTAAGAAAAAAACTATTAATGCAGATGAGTAGCACGTAATTATATAAATTTTCTTTTTGATAATATCCCAAGTAATTTGACCTATTTTAAAACTAAATATTTTACTTTTATAACCTATCATCCAATTATGTTTTCAAGCCAACATTAAAATTACTTACACAAATTAAGTTTATAGGTGTATTACAATTTATGTAAAGCAATATGAAATATAAAATACACTATTCATGTTAAATAATATCATAGACTCTACTTTTTTATTCTTTTTATTTTAAGTAGACTTCATGCCCAACATGGGGCCCAATATGAGCCTTCAACTCATGACTCTGAGATCAAGACCTTAGCTGAGATCAGGAGTTGGATGCTTAACTGAATGAGCCACCAAGGGGCACCACTACATTTTTATTCTTAAGCCAATACTAAATCACTCTGCACTGGGGAGTCATAAGAAGGAGAAGATCCAGTGTTTAAGAACTTATATTGCAAAATCTATGTAAATAAGCATACCTGCATGTACAAAAGCAAGAAGTGAACACATGCATTGTACACACACAAAATCTCATTTAAATAAATTAAACGTTTACTGGAAATATCCTTTTGTTGCACAGGATTAGAGAAATCTGTTAAATTAATTAGTTTTCAATGATTTCTCATTGAATGATTAATTAAAGGAAACCTGTACACTGCAAATAATGGAACTGAAATCAAAGAATCTATCAGTGACTCAAATATCTACAACTTAATATGTTTGGAATATTAGTTAAGACCTGAATCTGTTTTTCCAAATCTGTAAAATGGTGATAGATAATACATAGTAACAGCTTTGTTTTGAGGATTGATATTTGTGAAGGACCCAGGCATATACTAGAAGCTAATGAATAGTCACACACGCGTGCGCACACACACACACACACACACATACACACACATGATCTGTTATTCTAGACAGAAATTCTTACTTAAAGTCACTTAAATATCTGATTAATATTTATCCACTTTTTATTCCAATAATTAAATCACGGAGTAGCTCAAGTACTGGAAGACTCAGACTCAGCAATAGGTCAATTAAACGGTTCTCTTTACTCTTATAAAACAGACAGGCGAGCTACTTTCACAGTACTGCCTATCAAACTAAACAGGTTCTTAGATGGCAGAGTTATTTTCTTAATTCCATTTCTGTAAGGAATAAATGCTTGATTCCTTAAAATAGGATTCATCTTTATTTTCTCTAAATAAAGAATTCAGTCTTTCAGAGCAAATGCATTTTATTAGTAAATGACATCACTTAAATTTTCTACAACATCTTCAATGGCAATCATTAGCCACAAGGGCAACTTGGTGAGTAAATTCTATTAACCAGCCAAGTGTATGCTGAAACATTGCTTTCCTTTGAGGGGAATGGCAAGCATGCTTGCTGGGGTTATCAAAGGTCTATGCAATGCCTTTACTTCTTTACAAGACTGCCTTCCAATCTTTGGTGGAGAATATTTAGAACATGTTCCAAATCAAACTCAAAATTGCTGATGCAGAGAGTAGTTTGGAGAGTCTAAAGAGTCAGCAGTAACAGTTGAAAATCTCAGAGGCAGCACTTATTTTAATGTATTTTAAACACACGGGCACACACTCACGCACACGCAAACCCCAGCCAGCACCTCTATATACTATTGCTTCATTAGGTTACGTTTAAAAGGAGAAACAAGCAAGGCAAATTACTACTGTTTTAAAGCCCAAATTTTAAATTTATCAATTTTGGTTGCAGGTGGTACAGAAAGGCAAATAGCTGTTCCCAGGAGGGCACTTTGCTGATTTCTCGCCAACTGTGTACATGTTTGTGTTAGTCCTACTTTCTCCCCCCTTTTCACCTTTCCACATATGGTTCTTTCCTCCTGCCTTCCAAAATAATTTTTTAAAAGGTAATGTAATGAATTGTTTTAGTTGCTCATATTATAAATCAGAGAATATCTGGAACTTGATCTGAAGTTGTATTAGTTACATGTTGGGTATCATAAAGACATTGCCTAGGTATCAAAGCACTGTCTTTCAGGAAACCAGTGTATTATTATTTATTTTATTCTTTAAAACACAAAATCAAGAAAGGTGGTCCCATACACTCATATCTATCTATATCTATATCTATACATATACATAAATCCTTTTCTAAATCTTCCTATTCTTTATAAATTGTGAAGGATGGAGCCCAAGAATAATGTTGGATTTATAAAAGATGTGCTGTACACCTAAATAATTTACAGTAATTTTATGAAAAAATTTTAAATGCCTAATTTGCTTTATGTAAAAATCTAATTATTATCACCCCTGCCCTCTAGAATATATGTTTGAAATATGCCATATATATTGTAAACTATATGGGAACCAAAATACACATGTTACCAAACCCAAAATATTGCTATTATATCTCTTAAGTATAGAAATGCTTGAGATATGTAGGTGAAAAGAGGAGGAAGAAGTGAGAACAATGCAGAAACTAAAGAGATTATCAAATGGAAAAGGTATACAAGTAAAGAGGGAATGTCATTAGCTCTTTTTGACAATTCATGAAGAGTGAATAGACTTGAGAAAGGAATAATAATAAAAACAACATATTGGAGATCAATCCTGTGCACTGACAGGTCTCATAGCACTTATGGTTATTAAAATACACTGTGACCTTGACTTTTTTCCACTAATTTTCTGATAGGTGAACCTATGTCTCGTTCAGTCGAATACCAAGAAGTTAGCATAGGGCCTAAATTAAAATTAGGTATTCATGTTAAGTAGGGAAAAAAAGTTTTTGAAAGATTTTCTCAAGTAATCATCATAATAGTATATAGCATAGGCAATATCTTCTTAATTTGGAATGAGAAAACTAAAATGCAAAGGAGTTAAATTAACTTGACCAAGGTCCAAATCATGAATTAAATGAAAATATCTCTGATTCCCACTGTATTTTTTATAACAACAGGCCTAGGATGATGTGAAGAATTGAGATGAAAGAAACAAAGAAACTGGAAAACCAGTGTAAATGTAATAAAAACAGAGGGAATTGTGAGAAACTGAGTGCTTTCCCTCTAAAATCAGGAAGAAGGCCAGGATTCCCCCTCTCTTCACTCCTATTACATTATGCTCGAGTCCAAGCTACTGCCTATGAAGTAACAGGCATACAGATTAGAGAGGAAAAATGGATGGTTTGTTTTCATCTATGTAGAAAATCCCAAAGAATCAACAAAAACTCCTGGAAATTATAAGTAATTATAGCAAGGTCACAGGACATAAGGTTAATATACAAAATCCAATCGCTTCCCTATACATCAGCCATGAGAAATTAGAATTTGTAATTAAAATCACAATACCATATATAATAACTCACTAAAAAGTTTTTATTTTGTATAAATATAACAAAATAAGTAAAAATTTATATATGGAAAACTACAAAACTCTGAAGAAAGAAATGAAAGATCAAAACAGAGATATTTCATGTTCCTGCACTAGAAGACTCAGTATTTTTAGGATGTCAATTCTTCCCATCTAGATCTATAGAAGCAACATAGTCTCAATAAAATCCCAGCAAGCTATTTGTGTTTATTAATAAATTGTTTCTAATATTTACATGGAAGGCCAAAAGACTCATAATAACCACCACAATATTGAAGTAGAAAAAAAGTTGGAGGACTCAGGATGCCTGATGCAGGACTTACTATAAAGTTACAGTAATCAAGACAGCATGAAATTTTTAAGACCAAACACATAGACCATTGAATAGAATAGAATGACCCAAAACAACATAAAACAAAAACAAATACAATTAAC